AAATATATATTAAAGATGTATTTATTATACTTTTTTACTATTAATTTCCATAGAAACTATGAAAGTAAATTTTATTTTTCACACCAATAACACATAAAACATTTTAATTAGATGACAAAAAAAAAAAAAATTAATTTTTATTTTTTCTATAAATTAATAATTAAAAAATAATAAATGCATCATTTAGGTCTAGGTTAAAAAATTCTATATTTATTTCTTTTATTTTTTAATATCACGTGAAAATAGAATAAAAATGTGAAGAGGTTTATGTGGCGTCCTAGTGGTAATTTTATTCTACTTCAAAGTCCTTAATATTTCTTTTATTTTTTTTTAATAAAGTTAAAATTACAATAGTATCGCTCCTCTTATCTTCTTCCCAGCCCCTACTCTCTTACTCCATGTCCATTTGCCTTCTCCCACCATCCTATCTCTCTGCAAATGTCTTCTCATCTCAGTTCCATCTCTAGAACCCTAACTTTTCTCTATTATAATTCCTTCTGAATCATCTCTCCCTTTCGCCACCATCAGCTACATCGTCGCCGTCGCAACTTTGTCACTCGTGCAGAGTTCGAAAATGGGGTGGAGCCATTGCGGCACTACGACTTTGATCTATTCACCGTCAAGGCTGGTAGTGTTGATGTCACATACCCATTTCCCTTCTTCCCCATCTCTGTCACGGACGCAGTTTTCTCTTCCTCTGTTCTCTCGTTGCCCACATCTTCCCTCTTCCCTCTTCCTTCCTTTTACTTTTCCTTCCTTAGATTAGGTTTGATTCTATAACCTAGATCAAGTTCTCACCTAGATTTGGGTTTTGCAACCCAGATTGGGTTTAGACAAAATAAAGCCCTTTGGTCTCGAAGAAATGCTTTCACTATTTTGCTCAACCTTCACTTGGCATCTAAGTTCTGCATCCTGAAAATCCCATGTTTTACATAGTTAAGAGTTGAATCTTTCAGAATTTTGTTATTTGGATAGATTTTGTATAAGAAAATTTGTTAATTTGAAACTTGAAATTTTGAGGCTTTTGCTTGTCTAAATCTGGGTTCTTCAGCAAAAACTAGGTCTAGCAAATTTTTTTTTTTCAAATCTTTTTTTTT